CCCACTTCTCACCTGCCCTTCGCAGCTGCCGAGCAGTTCCCAATCTTTGTCATCCGTGATCCTAGCCGTCGGTGGGTTCTCCCCCTCGTACTGCTTTACGTCGTTATTAGAACGATCCTTAATTGCGATTTGCGGGCGTTGTTGGATTCAGCAAGCTTGCCCCTGGATGCCAGAGCGTTGAAAAACAAGCCTCCTCCATAAACGTTCTCAACTTCTGTCTCCCTCGCAATCTAGAAGTACTATGGTACGCACCCACCTACACAGCAGACTGCTTATTTCCCGGTTATAACTCGTCTTTCCCCACTCGTCGCTTGCATTATAAGTGTGTGGTGTGCCCTCATGGTGCTCCTTGCATTAGGTGGAGCACACACACATCTCATCATATTCTTGAGACACTATATACTTCTCGTTGACAGGCGGTAGCTGGTTTAATTAAACCCCCCAACATCATCCACCTTTTGGGGGAGGACCGAACATCAGCAAGTCAGTTGGCTCTGGTACTCTTCTTGCGCTTGCCTTGTTAGGGGAGGGTGATAACCAATATTCATGGAGACGATTGGATAACATAGTCAGGCGAGCACGGAAGATGAACGGCACCGGTCGACTGTAAATTAAGCAGGGCAGCGGGACATCGGTTGTAGCAGCTTCCATAGGCTTGCCCAAGGGGCATCGTTCACTCGGTCTTCCATGTAAAGGACGGGTGAACCTTCTTTGTGAGATCGTGCTCCAGCGTATGCCATATGCAGATCCCCCAGTATGAGCTATTGCTAGCGTGTAGTATGCTGGAAGCGGAACCTCGGCTTTTGCACACATTGACGTTTGGCTGAATGGGTGTGTAGGTGGGAACTTTTATCAACAGCACTCTCATTTATAAGAAATGATCAGGGGATGGATAAGATAACGGCATATCGAAATAAATGTTACAACTGTCTGAGGTATAGGTATTTATACAGCAATGTCATATATGTTTAGACTTGCAAGTCGCACTGAACATCAAAACATAAAATGAAACGGTGATTTACTGTCTCTTTCTATTCAGGGCTGAACATTGATGGGACTGCTTGGCTGGGGGGTTGTCCTATGATACATATATCAGAGCAGTACTCTACAGGGTAGAGCTCAAGAGGGACACTTGTGCCGAAGTTAAATGTTAGCAGATCATAGAGTAACCCGAGCACTAATTACTCAACACTCAATTTTGGGTTTAAAAATCCGTCAGATTATGTTTACGATGGGATTAACTATTGAATCATAGTTGTTTTTCATAATTATGAAATAATTAGGTGCCTACGAAAGTATAGGTATACTATTCATATACTATTCTATATAGTATTCGATAGATAGTAATACTAAAAAAATGGGGACTGTTCTCATCCCTAGGGTCAGTGAGGGGGTGCTTGAAATGCCTTCTGGCACAGGAAAGGCCATTTCCTGTTGGCACTGATCGTGTGATACATAAACAAAGAGACGGGTCGGGGCGCGGGAGGGAACGCCGTCGGGGTGAATATTAACCAAGGCCGTATCGTACTGTCTGGGAGACTCGTGACCGGAAGATTGAAGGTAAACGCGGTGCACTTCTTCTATTATGGGTGATACTCCATTAGGAGTGTTCCAACTTTAATGGTCATAAATAACAGTATATATATATATGGGTCATGCATATATTAGGTTTGGTGGTTTAGATGTCATTTAGGTTTAGGTTAGGGTCTAGGTTAGGATATCAATCATTAATCATTAATCATTAATGCATATCAAAGTTCGGGGACACTCCTAATGGAGCGCGTGCGTTAGGCTCATTAAAGGGGCATATAGTCCCTCCCGGGTACATTATACTGTTTTTAAATTGCAATGCATTCTAGTCAGTGAGCTTGGGCGCGCGGGCGGTAAAGCCAGACATAATTTTAATTCATATAAATTTATAGTCATGTATTATATACTGCAATATTATATAATCTGCAAGCTAAAGTGAGATAAAATTGAAGGAGGCTGAACAGGGCTGCCGGAATTTTAATACATTGTTTATGGTAGAATTGTTCTGCATTTTAAAATTTTTCTTTTGGAATTAATCAAGCTTGGTTAAGTCAAGCAAGTGTTTTCTTACACAGAACACACTCAACACCACGAGCTTGGTGTAAGTCTACATAATTTGTTTTTGCATTATCAAGTGTGTGGAAGTTGCGACGGTTGTTGAAATATTATGAGAGGAGAACTCTGAGAAGCAAGCCATTCAGCTTTGCTTTTGACTTCCAGAAAGAATCCTCTGCATTCATCCTGAGGTATCGGTGGGCTATTAATTTTTGCTTTTCTTTACAGTAACCTTGCAGCTGTATTGAAAAATGAAGATATAATGTTGTGCAAGCTATAGCAGACCATACTTATTGTATCGACAGACATATGTAAACAACGATGTTTAAAGCGGGCGTGAAAATAAACATCTGGCTTAGTATGTTATAGTGTTAAGCAATTACCTGATCTGCAGGTGAGCTCAGGATAGAAATGGCCAAGAGTACGGGTGGATGGAAAATGCCAAGCTCTCACAGCTTCCTATATCAGAGAACGACACAAGCGATGGAAGAAGTCTGTTTTTAACCAGTGTGCCGTTTCTATGAGGTATATGCTATTGTATTAAAGATACTATTAGTAAGTTATTGTTAAGGATTACTCGTAAGGCTGGGGAGGGCGCAGGTGAGGTGAGTGGTGTGAGTCTGTACCAATGGAGTGACCATGGATTATAGTGAGCGAGTGATGGAGTGGTCTAGATGGGAGGGTTAAAGAGGAGGCGAGAACGTACATGGATGAAATGGCTGAAACGCATGTTGCCGAGTATAGCGAATTTAGGAGAACTTGGCCCGTTTATTGTGAGCGGTAGTGTTGTGCTCTCGGTAATCAGCTGTCCTACCTTGCTAATATAAAACAAACCGCTGTCCCTACGATGCCCCTATACGCTGAGATAATGAGCGGTGAAATCTGGTATTTTTGCTGAGAGAACCGCCTAAAACCGACTCGAGATCCCTGTTTGCTGCGACCCTCTCTCGCTTTGTGGCCAGTGTGTTGCTTCCGGTCGCCGCTGTGTAGCGCCATGGTAGCGCTGACTCATTATGTCAGTACTAAAGAGTTTACTACATCCAGCGTGAGGTGGGCACAGGTGGGGGTCATCACTATGGCTATCAATAACAGACGTCATTCATTCTATTTGTGAGGGGGGAACGGGGGGGGGGGTACATTCCCACTTTCCCAGCAAAAAACACCCCATATCCCAGTTCCCAGTAAAATAAAATCCCAATTTCCAGTTCCCAGGAAATTATGTAGACATGTTTCAGGAAGGTTTCCTGAAGTTATCTCAAAGCGAGAGACAGTCGCAGTCAGCAGGTATCTCGAGTCGGTTTTTGGCGAAAATACCAGATTTTTACCGCTCATTATCTCAGCGTAGGGGCATCGAAGGTACATGCGGTTTGTTTTATATTAGCAAGGTAGGACAGCTGATAAATAATACCGCAAAGAATCGTCAAAATAAAACGGGGAAAGTTTATTAATTCGACTAATACTGCAACATGGTTTCAGCATTTCACCGTTGTACGCTCTCCTTCTTTATGCGCTCTTAATTTATAGTATTATTGTTATTCATCTGATAAAGTTTGATGCACATGTTTCTGCAGATAGTGGGATTATAGCCTGCTAAACACTGATGCACTATAGACCTGTAGACCATGCATGGTGCCATATATGGGACTGTTTTTAAACTTGGCAGTAATTCCACTTTCAGAATTTCGATGCACATGGAAGAGAGACCACTCTACCACCTGGAGTTTACAACTTGGTCAGTGGTTTTTATTGTATTTCTTGATGTCATTCATAAAGGGTTTAGGTCGAGGAAAGTTACTAGCCAAGAGTTGTAAATTAAACAATTGATTCTGCTATTAAAGTTTAAAAAAAGTATATCCCTGAAGTCAAATACACCCCACAGCCTGACATCTTGCCTGGGGAAAAAAGATAGACTTGGGCACCGTGCAGGTGCATATTTACGATGTTTTTAATAATTGATGCATTGATTTTACAATGAATAACCTTATGCACTTTGAACCAGTTTAGTAAGAAAATTAAGTATTTGACTTATCTTTTGCATACTTTTCATGCAGGATGACCTGAAAGAATATGGTCGAGACCATGAATATTGTCCTTATTTTCTAGCCAGATATTCTGTGAGTATGAGAAGTTTTATAAATGTTTAGAAAAATTCATACTTGAACCTATTCTCTGAAATTATAAACGATAATAAAGTTCAGGTTGGTAACAACATTACATTGTTGAAAGTGTATTTATTATGATAGTCAGAATAATTTGGTAGAAGATAATACTTTTAGGTTCAACCAAAAATAAGGCAAACGTGACTACTAGTTTCTGTTTATTTGTAGATCACACATGCCAATATAATTGTCTACAGTTATCACTATTTACTGGATCCGAAGATAGCTGAACTCGTATCTAAAGAATTCAGCAAAAAGTCTGTTGTGGTGTTTGATGAAGCTCACAACATAGGTAATATTGGTGTTATAGCTGTATAATAGAGTTGTGATTTCTAATATCTGAGGGTGTAGGTGTTCTGTCTAATTTAAATTGAATCGAATCAAACCTTATGAATATAAAGTATCATCGCATTGCTGTGTTAATACATCAAGATCTCACCATTTCCGTGTTATTGAGAGATGCCCTCTGTCAACAAGTCTTTTGTTTTGTAGACAATGTCTGCATAGAGTCGATGAGTGTAAGGATACGCAGACGCACACTAGATAAATGTGCACAGAACCTCGATACATTGAAACGAGGTGTAGATAAGTAAGTATTGCAGCCATAGATCTAGAGTATAGAATTATTTTACCATTACCCATCACACCGAGTACACGACTGTGTGGCACATGACGTAGTATGGCCATTTTGGGCTTTATGTTATGGTTAAGTAATTTGAAACTCGTAACTGATTAAAAGCAAGATAAGCATAATTGGTAAATAACAGGCATACTAATTAACATAATTTTTAGGGTGAGTTGAACTTAATGGTAACCCAGGCATATTTCAAATTGTAATTTCAAATCGTAGTAAGTTTTTTATTTTACACATGTGATTTCAGAATAAAAGAAACAGATATCAACCGGTTAAAGGAGGAATATGGACGGCTAGTTGATGGGTTGAAGAATGCAAAGGTAGCCAAGGAGACTGACATTCAGCTTTCAAATCCTGTGGTTCCTGATGAGATATTGGAGGGTGAGGATTGACTAGGGTCACCATTTATCTTTAGGTTTCTATGGCTTCTAATAAAATTTTGTGTTAAATTTGTAATCTAGTTTCAGTACTCTTTTCTGACAAATAATAGCCCTAGAGAACTTAATCCATGGCTCCTAGTTAAGTTTAGGACATCCACAAACCTTTGCACTAATCTGGAGTAATTCTTGCTCGATGGTTCTTGCCAAATTCTTCCCAATTCTCCAATTGGAATTGGGATGGTCCCGTTTCCCTTTCCCCATGAATTCCAGGGGCCTGCCTTATAACACATTCCAGAGTATGCTCCATGCCCGCCACTTTTGTCTGGGCATGTGAATCCCCATAGGTTCATTATTGTAGTTATCTTCCGAATGTATTTTTTTGCGAATAGCATTGGGCCATCAGATTTGTTCACAAATACTTGGATCTTATCATTATTGCTCTTGGATACCCATCAGATTTCTGTGCATCATATGCTCTGAGGTTTACCTTGCTCAAATAGAAATTGAAATTGTGAATTGAATGGAATAGAATAGAATAGAATAGAATTGAACTCAATTGCAATTGAAAAATAGAAATTGAGAAAATTAATTCATTAATTAGTCTATTGATTAATTAAGAATTTAGGATTTAAAATAAGAAGAAATTAAAGAAAATAAGTTAAGCTGAGAGGACACCAATCTAGTCCAATATAGTTTACAATGTATGTAAAAAAAAAAAATTCGATAATTGTTTTCGTATTATTTGAATTTATAGAAGCTATACCAGGAAGTATCCGAAATGCGGAACACTTTGTTGCATTTCTGAAACGCTTTGTTGAGTATATTAAGACACGACTGAGATCCCAACATGTTGTGTCTGAAAGCCCGCCTGCTTTCTTGAAAGACTGCCACAGCAAAGTCTGCATAGATCGAAAACCATTAAGGTACAAACTTATATGCAAACCTATTATATAGCATTGTCAATCTTGATCTGAAGTTATTATTTATGCATCCTTACCGAAAGATGCAGTTAATATGCAGTATTTTAAAGTAAATATGTACTTATAAGTGATAATGTTTTACATGTATTATTAATACAGCAATGGTCGTATCATTCACTTGGTTATACCAATAATGTAAAATGCAATATGCATACATCACACATGAATTAGTTGCTGATGTTATGGTAAATCACTTTTCTTATCAAGGTTCTGTTCTGAGCGTCTTCGCTCATTGCTCTGGACCTTGGAGCTAGCTGATCTGTCAGACTTTTCACCACTGATGTTAGTCGCCAACTTTGCAACGTTGGTGAGCACCTATGCAAAAGGTATGCAAATTTTCTATATCGCACACATGGATTCTCATGTAAAAATAAAGAAACAATATTTACTGCATATTTTATTCAATATTTAATTAGTCTTTATATATAAAAAAAATTCTTGTTTTTATGAATGCAGCCATACACTCAAAATGTTATTCACTATTTTTATCATAGTGAGTGTGACTCACAGCAGAGTCATATACATCTTGTCAAGAGCTAATAATACCTAGAGTGTACAATGGAAAAACGGAAAAATAGTGCTATTTCACGACAATATTATTCTACTTTGCCTGCGAGTTTAGAATATTTATGGTATTGCATTAAGCAGAATTCTTTGCTCTCTAAAACAAGACCAACCGCTTGTCAATACGATACTCCTAGGCTGAGATATTGGCTTGTAAACTTCCCCTCCCACAGGCCATACGGCGCCTCGCATCTACAATATTCACTATCATTCTCGCCTTTTGCGGGTTAGGAAAGTCGCTTCGTGAGAGTTCAGTTTTTTCCGTGATAACTTTATGAATGAACGGCGTTTCTGTTATCATCGGTGACTTTCGGGGGCATCGCTTATGCCCTTATCTCCCATTATCTTTCCTAGCACGGCTAATGCCCATCATGATGGAGCCGGCAATGTTTTCTAAATTAAGTCTCTACAACGCAGCTCAGTTACTATATGGTGTAGTAAGAGTACCAAATTTGGGCATGTGACATTAATTATCAGCGCTCCAAGCGGTGATGGAAGCCAAAATGCTTAGAGGCGAGTAGGTTGCTGACTGATGTGGATTTGAGGCGCCGTGAGGCCTGTGGGAGGGGAAGTTTACGAGACAATATCTCAGCCTAGGAGTATCGTATTAACAAGCGGTTGGTCTTGTTTTAGAGAGCAAAGAATTCTGCTTAATGCAATACAATAAAATTATTCTAGACTCGCAGGCAAAGTACCAAATTTGGGCATGTGACATCAATTATCATCGCTCCAAGTGGCGACGGAAAACGATAGCCAGACCTGCAAAAGGCGAGAAGGATAGTGAATATTGTGGATGCGAGGCGGCGTGAGGCTTGTGGGAGGCATGATTACGCTCCAATATCTCGGCCTAGGAGTATCGTAGAGACAAGCGGTTGGTCTTATTTTAGAGAGCAAAGAATGCTGCACTCTACCACTCTAACACAATACCATGAACTTAGTCTAGAACCGCATACAAAGTAGAATAATATTGCCGTGAAATAGCACTATTTTCCCGTTTTCCCGTTGTACAGTCTAGGTATTATTAGCTCTTGATCTTGTTATATATGTGCAAGAGCATATTAAAGGACAATTGAAGTCAAATTTTATAACTTCTGTAACGTTTTTATACATAGAAATACATTCAATAACGTATTCCATTTCAAATCCGGTGCCCAATTTGTAAGAAACACATGAATATTAATCTAGGTCATGTGACGTCACAGCCCCAAAGTGAAACACGCCATTATATAGCGTAACAGTGCTAACACGCTAGTATATGTTATGCTAGGTGAAAGTATTGCTACAGCGTACAACAAACATGTCGCCTGTAAATGTACTTATATTCATGTACATACATATTACCTGTGTGGATAATGCATTCACGGTATATGTACATGACTTGCGTAGAGATGTTTGTACATGTACAGATACATGTGATTCTGACCGAGCGTGATAAGCCGCGTGATCATGTACTCTGCATGGCCTCCCTGGTCTAGCGTCGAACTGGGTCTACAATAACCCTGCGTCTTCTCATTCTCATGGCAGCCATATATACATTCAGGTGCCGTACTCATTAATTCACAAACACTTACAAGAACACCAGTATTTGTCTACAGTCCTATCGGTACCGAAGGCTTCCATTCCGCCATGAATTGTGACTGTTCTGATTCTCGAGAAGTGTGTGCCGACTTTTCGCCGTTGCTGTTTTCAGACGATTCTCTTCAATTTCTTCTTTTGTGATATATCAGGCCTCAACCTATATCCAACTGGTAAATCACTATAAATTTCATCATCATATGAGTAATCACTAGAATCCATTGAAATTATCGCTTTCTGTCTCCATCTTATACACACACGCACTATGTTTACATAATGGCGTGTTTCAACAGGTTGCTGTGACGTCACATGACCTAGACTAATATTCATGTGTTTCTTAACTGCGGATTTGAACTGCGGGCGCGGATTTTGAAATGGAATACGTTATTGAATATATTTCTAGTATAACACGTTACAGAAAGTTATAAAATTTGACTTCAATTGTCCTTTAAGAAGAGAAGCGTACAACGGTGAAATGCTGAAACCATGTTGCAGTAATTTAGTCGAATTAGAGAAACTTTGACCCATTTATTTGGACCATTTCTTTGCGTGGTATTGATCAGACTTGTCCCGCTACCTTATACTTAAAATACAAATCGCTTTGTCCCTACGATGCTCCTCGCTTGAGATAATGAGCGGTGAAAAATCGATATTTTTGTCGAATAACCGACTCGAAGGATCCCTGTTACCGGTTAGCTGCCGAACCACTCTCTCGCTTTGAGATAGGCTCCGGGCAACTCGCGTGTTTCCGTCAACTGATTGAACAAATGGAATAATGGACGTCTGTTATTGATTGCCATAGTGAATGACCCCACCTGTGCCCCACCTCATGCTGGAAATGTATGTAATCTTCTGTAGTACTGTGTAAATGGAGTCGAGCAGCTACCATGGGCCTACAACAGCGGCGACCGGGAAGCAACATACTGGCACGAAAACGAGAGAGGTAGCAGCTAATAGGGTATCTGGGTCGGTTTTCTGGCAAATAATACCAGTTTTCCCGCTCATCGATCTCAGCCGTAGGAGCATCTGTAGGGACAGAGCGGTTATGTTTTTATTAGCAAGGTAGGACAGCTGACTAAATGAATACCGCAAAGATAATCGTCAAAATAAAAGGCAATTTCTAATCTTCGATTAATTACTGTCCATGGATTCAGGCATTCATACCCAATTGTACGCTTTCTATCAATATTATTATATATCGCTCTTGACAGTCTGCAGCCGTGCATCCGCGCTCGAAGTTGCTGGAACTAGCGCCACCTCGTGTGGGCGCCTGGTCTCGCACCGCCCGGCGCGGCTGGCGCCGCTCCCCGCCTTTTCATCCAATTCCGCTGCTCTGTCATATCATTTACTTCGTCCTGTTCAGATCTGGCCTCTTAATCGGTCTTATTGCAGGAGGTTGTGGGCTTGCAGAAGCTTTTCGGACTATGCCACGTATGGGTGCGGAGAATAGAATGCAAAATGATCGTAAACTGGTAACTTGCTTTGGTTTGGCGCTGATTCAGGTTTTCTGCTAGAAAAGCCGATTATCGAATTTATTTATATTTTATTTATTTAATATAACCTGAAGTTATTCTCGTACATAGGCGTCCATGATGGCGCGCGAGGCTCTCTTCGAGGGATTTTCCACAGAATTTTCCAGGATCCAGCCGATCTTTAGTTCCCGCAGGGCCTGACTGGATGCATGGTTGTTTAGCGACTGAGAATTGCTTCGAGTTTCGGATTAGTAACGATGTCCAGACGATATGCATAATGCATTTGATATGTCTCTTGAACTCCCCGCGCTGCCGCTGGCGATATCGGCCAGATTCGTGCCTGAGCACGCATAATGTAAAATATTAATTAAAAACCCCCCCCCCCCGCCCCCTCCCGCCCCTGCTGTGCGTGGTCATCGTTGGCATGTTTTACATGGTGGGCACATGTCCATCCTCACGTTCCTTCTCCCGCGCTCACGTGGTAGCTGGCTCGGGGTTTTTGCGCCGCCGTTGACTTGTATTTATATTAGCATTCTTTATAGGTTTATCGTTAGGGTGTTTTTATAATACTATTCGTTTTATTCGTTTCCATCATACATTTTATTGAAACGCTGCAAAGTACTAGTGCCAGTGTAGGCTGGCCCGCTATACGCATATCTTCTGCGCTCACCGCCTGTCCTTTGGGGCGCGCATACACATAGCTGATCTATAAACATGTCGTTATTGACGGGTCAGGTATCGCGTGTCGGTTGCGCTCCAGTCCGCGTGAATGGGCGCGGCTTACCGCCTTTTCGGCGGTCGGGGAACAACGCAATCTTTTTGCGCAGGCCATCTTGTATCCCGGTCTTCTCTGGATTATGTTGTGGATCTAATTTCTCTTTCCACTGTGATTTATTATATGAAATTATGTTACCTTACGATTATTCTTTGTACCTTTGTACCTCTGTTTTTTTATTTTCCTCATGGCAGGCTTTATTATCATCATTGAGCCATTCGAGGATGGTGCTCTACTTGCTACCCAACCCTGATTCTCCACTTCAGACTGCATGGATGCATCCGTTGCCATAAAAGCTCAAGTGTGTTGACGAGGTTTCCTAGTCTGTTGTTCATCACTCAGAGGTGGTCACAGATCTGTGTGCTATTAAGCTCTTCGCATGATGATGTGTCCACACCTCGTTGCCAAGAAATAATGTGTACTGCATTTGAATGCTGCAAACTACGTGTGTATACTATTCTCACTTATGATCAGTGAACGTAGTAAAGTATTTTGAATTTTTCGTCAGACCTATAATCGCAGTTGATGATGTATATTCTCAAGATATTGCGGATTTTAGACCATGTTACTTATGCTACATTACATAGCACTGCCTTCGTTACTCGCGAACATGTTCTTAGTAGCCGCAATAAAGCTGTCGTAGCCACTATTGCACTATACCGCTGGTACTGAAAGTCCGCTTAATTCCTCTTCCGTTCTAGTCATACAGCTTACGACTTCAAATACTCTTCCAATATAGGTACTGATGCAATAGGCGGTCGGTGGTCATGAATATCACACTATCCGTATAAGTTATAGTACGTAAAATAAACTCTAGTATGCTCCCTAGTTCACTGCGGTATAAAATGACTTAACACCTCACAAGAAAGAGAGTGAGAATAATCTGGCATTTCTGGCACAAATGATCGACTGTTGCCATATGACAAATAGGCCTGAAAGTGGGTGACTGACGGTCACATGTTTATATCTTTGCCTGCGCCTCGACTTATATCGGCTACCGCAGCAGCGCTGCACGGTTGCTTGGGGATTGGGGAAACTGTCAACAACATCGGAGAATTCCAACAACATTGGAGGTATTTTCAAAATACCTTTTATAAGACAACGCGCAGTGAAATGGGAGGAACTAGAGTTTATTTTGCCATAAGGTAGTATGATTATGCATGACACGAAGTATTTGCTAGTCTAGTACTGGAGAAATTAGCGTTTGGATGCGCATTGTGAGCCTTTAACCATTGGAATATAATGTACAAGCTCAAATTTGCAGTATGTGTCACCATGTCTTACGTGAAAAGATTATGCATAGTTTTTGGTTATATTTTTGCAGATTGTGAGTAGGGGCAACGACCAGGTGTCAATTACGTCTAAGTTTGAGACACGAGAGGACATTGCTGTCATCCGTAATTATGGCAACTTGCTCTCTGATATGGCTGCTATTGTTCCAGATGGAATTGTGGGGTTCTTTACCAGTTACTCGTATATGGTATGTAAAGTTTGATAATTGAAGAAAAGTTTCATTAAAAGCTGGCAAGCGGAGAATTCGGCCACATACTTTGGCTTGTACGACATGTATTTTCAGATGGTTTCAATTTGGTTCAGTTTTTGCCACGTTCTTTATGTTTCAAAATTATTCTATATTTTCTTGAAACCTTTCTTACACATCTTGTACCAAATACATGATTGACAGTCATTAAACGACTGAGTGTTGATTAACTCTTGCAAAGATACCTTATCAGTGAATGATGACTGTTGGGAAAGTATTCATTAGTTTTGTGCACCATCAATTACCAGTAAAGGCTTTATAATTTAAGGAGGTCATGGTAAAGCACTCATGGGAGAGGGGAAATGCTGTGGAGACTTTGTAAACCAATATGGCTGCATCACCAGTTTCGTGCTAATGTCTCTTTTGCGGTGTACAGGAAAACATTGTGGCTTCGTGGTACGAGCAAGGCATCATCGATATCATTCAGCGGCATAAGCTACTATTCATAGAGACGCAGGATTCTACGGAGACGAGCTTGGCTTTACTCAACTACCAGAAAGCATGTGAGAATGGACGTGGCGCCATCTTGCTGTCAGTAGCTCGCGGAAAAGTGTCTGAGGGAATTGACTTTGGTAAGTGTTAAGCAAAATATTAGGGAAAGCCAAAACACGTTAGAACTAAGCGTAATACATCTACAGCCCTCATAGGGCAGAGGTCACTAGGAGCAGAGAGCATAGAGCATTGTGATTTGTTCCTGAAAATAGATTAAACTAGTATCTATTTGCACATATACATGAGCACAAACGTTCTTCCTACAGTAATGTAGTTGTGTAAAGCAAAAATTGCATAATCTGACAGAATATATTGCAATTAAAGTGGAAAATGTATGTATGATCTCATTTATCTTGTTAACATGAATGTCATTGGCTTTTCAATGTTTAGATCACCACTTGGGTCGTTGCGTGATAATGTTTGGCATTCCATATGTATACACACAGAGCAGAATATTGAAGGTATGTATAGTTTTGGGAATGCTAATATATCTATATACAGTAAAACTCGCATAAGTCGTCATCGTCTAACTCGTCAATTCGACATGGAAGTCAAAGTCCCGATTTCCTCTCATATTAAATTCATTGGAATAGCCCCGCCTAAGTCGTCATTTACAAGCCGTCATTATGTGTAAGTCGGCGCTCTCAGACAGGTCCCATGTAATACAAACAACAGTAATTTCCTATCTGTAAGTCGTCGCTGTAAGATCGCGCTATAACGGGTCCGCACTGCAGGGGCGCAAATCCAGGGGGGACAGGGGGACATGTCCCCCCTACGAATTGTCAGAGGGGGGACATCATATCATATGTCCCCCTCACGATTTTGGATCACCATGATTTTGTGTGTGTGTGTGTGTGCGTGCGTGCGTGCGTGAAGTGAGAACCTTTTTGTCTTAAAAATGTGTCTTGATAAATTTAGTACTGTTTCTTTTTTAACACGTTTTTTTTTCTTATATTTAATAATTCTTATGCAGAAATCATCAAGAGAAAGTATGTTTATGAAAGTTTAGGAGATATCACTCACATCAGACACTGATTCAAGGATTAAGCTGGGAACACGAGCTATATTCACGCAAAGAGGACACTGAGTAACTGAGCATCGGTTTTAATAATGTATTTTTCATTGCAAATTGATGATATATATATACACGCATATATGATATATAGATCTAATAATACCTAGAGTGTACAACGGAAAAACGGAAAAACAGGAAAATAGTGCTATTGCACAACAACATTATTCTACTTTGCCTGCGAGTCTTGAATAATTTTATTCAATTATGTATTATTGCATTAAGCAGAATTTTTTGCTCTCTAAAACAAGACCAACCGCTTGTCAATACGATACTCCTAGGCTGAGATATTGGCTCCTAAACCTCCCCTCCCACATGCCTCATGCCGCCTCGCATCCCGGTTATTCAGCCACCTCCACGCCCCTAAGCATTTTGGCTATCGGTTTCCGTCACCGCTTGGAGCGCTGATAATTGATGTCACGTGCCCAAATTTGGTACTCTTACTACACCATATAATAACTGAGCTGCGTTGTAGAGACTTAATTTAGAAAACATTGCCGGCTCCATCATGACGGGCATTAGCCGTGCTAGGAAAGATAATGGGAGATAAGGGCATAGGCGATGCCCCCGAAAGTCACCTATGATAACCGAAACGCCGTTCATTCATAAAGTTATCGCGGAAAAACAGAACTTTCACGAAGCAATGCTTAGGGGCGTGGAGGTGGCTGAATAACCAGGATGCGAGGCGGCGTGAGGTATGTAGGAGGGGAGGTTTAGGAGCCAATAAAAATTAACCCAGCATTCGCGTTGCTTTTTCAGACGATTCTCCTCAATTTCTTCTTGTGTATATTCAGGCTCAAACCTATATCCAACTGGTAAATCACTATAAATTTCATCATCATATGAGTAATCACTAGAATCATTGAAATTATCGCTTTCTGTCTCCATCTTATACACCACACGCACTATGTTTACATAATGGCGTGTTTCAACAGGGTGCTGTGACGTCACATGACCTAGACTAATATTCATGTGTTTCTTACTGCGGATTTGAACTGCGGGCGCCGGATTTGAAATGGAATACGTTATTGAATATATTTCTATGTATAAAACCGTTACAGAAGTTATAAAATTTGACTTCAATTGTCCTTTAAGAAGGAGAGCGTACAACGGTGAAATGCTGAAACCATGTTGCAGTATTAGTCGAATTAAGAAACTTTGCCCGTTTTATTTTGACCATTCTTTGCGGTGGTATTGATCAGCTGTCCTACCTTACTACTATAAAACAAATCGCTTGTCCCTACGATGCTCCTACGCTGAGATAATGAGCGGTGAAAATCTGATATTTTTGTCGAAAACCGACTCGAGATCCCTGTTACTGTTAGCTGCGACCCTCTCTCGCTTTGAGATAGCTTCGGGAAACCTCGCGTGTTTCCGTCAATGATTGACAAATGGAATGAATGACGTCTGTTATTGATTGCCATAGTGATGACCCCCACCTGGGCCCACCTCATGCTGGATGTAGTAATCTCTGTAGTACTGATGTAATGAGTCAGCGCTACCATGGCGCTACACAGCGGCGACCGGAAGCAACATACTGGCCACAAAACGAGAGAGGGTAGCAGCTAATAGGGATCTTGAGTCGGTTTTCGGCAAAAATACCAGATTTTCACCGCTCATGATCTCAGCGTAGGAGCATCGTAGGGACAAGCGGTTTGTTTTATATTAGCAAGGTAGGACAGCTGATAAATAATACCGCAAAGAATCGTCAAAATAAAACGGGCCAAGTTTCTTAATTCGATTAATACTGCACCATGGTTTCAGCATTTCACCATTGTACGCTCTTCTTCTTAATACGCTCTTGACAGTCTGCAGCCCGGATCCGCGCGAAGCGCGAACAGCGCCACCTCGTGGCGCCTTTTCATCCAATTCGCTGCTCTGTCAATATCAATTTCACGGTTCTGTCAGATCGGCCTCTTATCGGTCAATTCGAGATGTGTATGTGGCGCTTCGCAGAAGCATTTCGACGTACTGCACGTAGGCGAGAATAAATGCAAATGCGTCGTAATTGTAAACTGTTGCGCTGTGGCGCGTTAGGTTTGTCTCTCTAGAAAAGCGATTCGAAGTTTATTTAATTATTTTATTATAAACCTGAAGTATTGCTCGTACAACATATGGCGTCCCATAGATGGCCGCGACCGAGCTCCTCTTCGAGGATTTTCACAGAATTTTTCCAAACACCAGCCAATCTTACGTTCCCGCAGGGCCTGCACCTGCATTGATGGTTCGTTTAGACTGAGAATTGCTTCGATCGGATAGTAAGATCGCCAAGCGAATATGCCAATATCAATTTGATATGTCCTCCTGCATCCGGCGCTGCGTCGTGGCGACGGCACGTCGTGCACGAAGACGCGATGGAACTGGGCTGTGTGGCGTGGGGGCAGTTTTTACATGGTGGGCACATTCCAGGCCCTCCTCCCCCCGCTGCTCTGACAACGTGGAAGCTGCGCTCGGGGAGTTTTTGCGCCGCCGTGACTGTATTTAATTTAGCATTACATTTTATTGAAACGCCTGCAAGTACAGTTGCAGTGTAGGTGCCCGCATATACGCATTCGCGCGTGAGCGAACCGCCTTTCCTTCGCGCGCAAAATGCGTATAGGGGGTATCCCGCGGTCGCCGTGCGCGCAGTCCCGAAGTGCGCGGCTGATAACGCTTCGGCGGTCGGGAAAGACAACGCATCTTTTGCCGCAAAGGCATCTTGTATCCGGTCTTCTGGATATGTGTGATCTATAATTACCCTTTCCAGGTTTAATATATGATAAATTTAGATACCTACGATTATTTTTTACCTTGTAACCTGGTTTTTATTTTCCTCATGGCAGGCTTTATTATCATCATTGAGCCATTCGAGGATGGTGCTCCTACTGTACCCAACCCTGTTCTCCACTTCAGCTGCATGGATGCATCCGTTGCAATAAAGCCAGTGTTTGACAGGTTCCAGTCTGTTGTCATCACCTCAGGGGTGAGTCACATGATCTGTGTGCTATTAGCCTCGCATGCTAGAGTGTGCCACAACCGTTGCCAAAAATAATGTGTACTGCAATTTGAATGCTGCAAAACTAAGTGCTGTATACTTTCACTATGACAGGTAACAAGAGAAAGTATTTGAATTTTTCCAGACCCTATCACCAGTTGATATGTATCCAAAGATATTGGATTTTAGACCAGTTACTCTGGCTACATTTACAATGACACTGGCTCGACCTTGTCTGTGCCCAATGGTAAGCACTATTGCACTAATCCTTAAAGGCTCACAATGCGCATCCAAACGCTAATTTCTCCAATACTAGCACTAGGCAAATACGTCGTGTCATGCAATAATCACATAACCTTATGACAAAATAAACTCTAGATTGCTCCCATTTTTCCAACTTTTGCGGCGTTTGCTTAAAACCCACAAGAAAGCAGGTGAGAAAACTGGCATTCTCGCGCACAATGCGATGTTGCCAAACAGAATAGCCTGAAGTGGTGACGTGACGTCACATGTTATATCTTTTGCTGCCGCCGCGTACCGCTGTACCGCCAGCCAGCGCTCGCACGGGATTGTTGGGACTTGATGGGAAACTCCGCTCCAAACAGACATCGGAGAATTCCAACAGCATGAGGTATTCTTCAAAATACCTTTTATAGACAACGCGCAGTGAAATGGGAGGAACCAGAGTTTATTTTGGCATAAGTAGTATGATTATGCATGAACACGAAGGTATTTGCTAGTCTAGTACTGGAGAAATTAGCGTTTGGATGCGCATTGTGAGCCTTGAACCATTGGGAGATAAATGTACCAAGCTCAGAATTTGCAGTATGTGTCACCATGTCTACTGAAAAGATATGCAAGTTTTTTGGTTATAGTTTTGGCAGATTGTGAGTGTAGGGCAGACGACCAGGTTGTCAATTACGCTAAGTTTGAGACGACGAGAGGACATTGCTGTCATTCCGTAATTATAGGCAACTTGCTCTCTGATACTGGCTGCTATTGTTCCAGATGGAATTGTGGGGGTTCTTTACCAGTTCTCGTATGTGTATGTAAAGTTTGTAATTGAAGAAAATTTCATAAAAGCTGGCAAGCGCAGAATTCGGGCCACATACTTTGGCTTGTACGTACCATGTATTTTCAGATGGTTTCAATTTGATTCAGTTTTTGCCACGTTCGTTTTATGTTCAGAAATTATTCCTCATATTTTCTTGAAAACCTGTTCTTACACTCTTGTACGCAAATACATGAATTGAAGTCATTTAAACGACTGAGTGTTGATTAACTCTTTGCAAAGACCTTACTATCGTGAATGAATGACTGTTGGGAAGTATTCATTAGTTTTGTGCACCATCAATTACAGTTAAGGCTTTATAATTTAAGGAGGTCATGCGTAAAGCACTCCATGGGAGAGGGGCGAAATGCTGTGGAACTTTGTACAATCCAATATGGGCTGCATCACCAGTTTCTGCCTAAGTCTCTTTTCAGTGGTACAGGAAAACATTGTGCTTCGTGGTACGAGCAAGGCATCATCGATATCATTCAGCGGCAATAAGCTACTATTCATAGAGACCGCAGGATTCTACGGAGCGAGCTTGCTTTACTCACTACAGAAAGCATGTGAGAATGCGACGTCGGCGCCATTCTTGCTGTCAGTAGCTCGCGAAAAGTGTCTGAGGGAATTGACTTTGGTAAGTGTTAAGGCAAATATTAGGGAAAGCCAAAACACGTTAGAACTAAGCGTAATACATCTACAGCCCTCATAGGGCCAGGATCACTAGGAGCAGAGAGCATAGAGCATTGTGATTTGTTCCTGAAAATAGATTAATAGTATCCTATTTGCACATATACTGGGCACAACACGTTCTTCTACAGTAATGTAGTTTGTGTAAAGCAAAAATTTTTCTCATAATCTTGACGAATATATTGCATTAAAGTGGCAAAATTATGTATGATCTCATTATCTTGTTAACATAGAATGTCATTGGCTTTTAATGCTTTAGATCAGCCACTTGGGTCGTTGCGTGATAATGTTTGGCATTCCATATGATAGTACACACAGAGCAGAATATTGAAGTATGTATAGTTTTGGGAATGGCTAATATATCTCTATATATCAGTACAAACTCGCATAAGTACGTCATCGTCTAACTCGTCAATTCGACATGGAAGTCAAAGTCCGATTTCCTCGTGCAGAATTAATTCTATTGGAATAGCCACCGCCTAAGTCGTTGCATTTACAAGCCGTCATTATGTGTAAGTCGGCGCTCGTCAGACAGTCCCATGTAATACAAACAACAGTAGATTTCGATATCTGTAAGTCGTCGGCTGTATAGATCGCGCATATAGCTCGTCGCACTGCAGTGGGCGCAAATCCGTGGGAACAGGGGACATGTCGCCCCCTACGAATTCGTCCAGAGGGGGGACATCATATCATATGTCCCCCTCACGATTTTGGCATCAGCCATGATTTTAGTTGTGTGTGTGTGTGTGGCGTGCGCGTGGTGCGTGCGTTGCGTGCGTCGCGCGTTCCGTGCGTGAAGTGAGACTTTTTGTCTAAAAATGTGTCTTGATAAAATTTAGTACTGTTCTTCTTTTAACACGTTTTTTTCTTCTATAGTTAATAATTCTTATGCAGAAATCCATCATGAGAAAGTAATGTTTATGAAGTTAGGAGAGTATCACCACATCAGACACTGATTCATGGAGATTAGCTGGAAACACGAAGCTATATTCACGCAAAGAGGACAGCTGGAGTAAGTGACGCATCCGTTTTAATATGTATTTTCATTGCAGATATGATTGATATACTATATACACGCATATCACTGATATATAGATACTAAAATACCTAGAGTGTGCAACGGACAAAACGAAAAACAGGAAATAGCTGGCCATATGCACAAGCCAACATTAGTCACTTGCTGCGAGTCTTGAATAAATTCTTATTCAATTATGTATTATTCATACAGCAGGAATTGTTTTGCTCTCAAAACGAAGACAACCGCTTGTGTCAATACGATACTCCTAGGCTGAGATATTCTCCTACCCTCCCACTCCCACTGCCTCATGCGCCTCGGCATCCCGGTTATTCAGCCACTCACGCCCTAAGCCATTTTGCGCTATCGAGTTTCCGTCACCGCTGCTATGGAGCGCTGAAATTGATGTCACGTGCCCAACATTTGGTACTCTTACTACACCAGTATATAACTGAGCGCGTATGTAGAGACTTAATTTAGAAAACATTGCGCTCCATGCATGACGGGCATTAGCCGTGCTAGGATAGATAATGGAGATACCAGGCATAGGCGATGCCCGAAAGTGCACCTATTGATAACCGAAAACGCCGTTCATTCATAAAGTATCGCCCGGAAAAACAGAACTTTCACGACAGCAATGCTTAGGGCCGTGAGGTGCTGAATAACCAGGATCGCGAGCGGCGTGAGGTATGTACGGAGGGGAGGTTTAGAGCCAAATACAAACTTAACCAAGCCTCGAGAGTATCGTCATGACAAGCGGTTCGGTCTTGTTTGTAGAGAGCCAAAGAATTCTGCTTTAATGCTAGACACATAAAATTAATTCTAGACTCGCGAGGACATAAGTAGAATAAGTGTTTCGTGAAATAAACACTATTTTTCCCGTGTGACACTCTCAGGTATTATTAGCTCTTTGATGAGTATGACTGACCAACAATAATAACGACAATTTATTTTGTGTATCAGCTCCAAACACCAGAATGATAGCGTTTTCTGCTTTTTGATTTCTTGATTTATGAACTGCATTGTGGACACCCTTTGTCGTAATTTTATCACAAAACCAAAGTGCATCTGTGTGATGTGTGGTGTGTTGCAGGGGCGTGTACAGGGGTGTCAGGGGGTCGGACACCCCCCCCCCCCCTGCTCGCGCAGAAAACGCAATCTGAGGGCAGTCTAATTTTCAAAAAATTCTGGGGAGATCCACCAGACCCCCCTCGCGTGCTCCTCTGGTGATTCCCCCCACATTTCAAATGGAAAAATTTTGCGCAGCCTGCCGCACTATATATATATGTATATCACTAGAAATGCAGAATGCAACCGGACATCATAGTAATTATTGTCAGTGAGTTATGAAGCCTGGCGAAAATATCAGCTGACACTTCTGAAGTCCGCGAAAATACTGGCTTTGCTAAATCGCCAAAATGACGATATACACACATAAGTCGTCATTTTGGCGACTTACATATAAGTTACATAAAAAATTACCCGTAAGTCGTCATTTGCGTAAGTCGACACAAAAATGCTGGTCCCAAGTGTCGACTTTTACTGTATATATATATATATATATAACATATATTCATTGTCACTCTATTCATCAAGCTAACACTATAACATATATGGTTTAGAGATCCTGAAAGCTTAGTTGCTTCACATTGTCGCTGTTTTTCCATTAACTAGGCAAGGCTGGAATAATTTGAGGATCAGTTTTCAAATTAGAGAGAATGATTTTCTAACATTTGATGCAATGCGTCATGCAGCACTAAAATGCTGGGGCGAGCTATTCGTGCAGACTGATTATGGGCCTGATTTTTTCGCTGACAGGGTAGTTTTTATACAAAACCTCATGTGTTGTAGTTCATATAGAAATTACTGAACTTTTTTTTTGCTAGTTACTTATAATTAGTGCAATTAAAAATAGCATGTATATAATGAAATTTTTACAACTTATCGCGCATATAAACAGTGTGTGATGAATCTGTATGTACTTCAATTTATAGAGCATTTTTCAAGATGCTGACAAGAAAGGGAGCTGCCCAGTGGAATCAAGAATATCCTGAAAGGACAGCTTGTGCAACTTGCGACAGAGGGAAGCTGTCCAGATATCTAACGCGTTTTCTCGCAGATTGGCTCAACCATTTACACAGGTGATTTAATAAGATATATCCCAACATTTTTAGTACTGTACTTAAAATAAGCAATAAACATTGTTAGGAACCAGGTCACCCTTACCACTGCCATATGTGACAGCAGTGAACGTGTAAAGTATTGATAGGTATTTACTAAATGCACGTACTTTCAGCCAGGTATGTTAGCAGCTGTATAGATACTAAGATGTGAAGTAAGAAGAGCTAGACATTAGGATTCTGCAATAGACATTGCAAGATGGCTATGCAAGAAACAGCTTTTAGAAGACTTGTTCATTAAGAGTATTTGCTTGATCAATCAGAATTCTCAAAGCTGCTCAAAAATATGGCCAATAGTGATAATACAACACTGCTGATTTTCAGTAGCAATAACTTCGCAATGCAAATAATAGCATGTCAGTTTCTCATACAGTATCTATAATTTCAGGAGGACCAAGCTTGATTACACTGCTCACACTAGAACCAGCTACAATCTGAAACATGCCAGAAGAAAATAGAAAAGCCTATAGGTGCCGCAGCAAACCACTGATCATTGCCTATCGGGAACATCGATGTTCACGTATTCATGTAAATTATGTTCATTACTATACCATATCACAACTATAAAAACTGGCAGGTGTGAATTGGCAAGAAGTAATCCACTGTGAGTACCGATTTTATTATAATTATCCCATGAAAATTCTCGTCGTGAACAATTATGACAGTCTAATAGTATCAGCACTCACGTGCTCACATTTAAATTACGGAAACATTAATTTGCAAAATGTACAGATCAATGCTGCAGAGCTCTATGAACTGTAAATAATATTCTGGAAAGACCATCTCAGGCATGTAAACATAATTTGGCAGTTGTCAAGCATGGTTCTTTCGGCGTGTGATTGTTGCGCTAAATGTCAACAATAATTCTACTTTGGTGATTTTCTTATCATTAGTTTACTTTTTGTATTTGATCTCC